CAAAAGCCCCTGTCCAGGTTGGGTCTGACAGTACCCAAAGGAAAGTACTTAAAGCTTGTTTGGCTGCACATCTCCTTGGATCACAGGAGTGCAGTTCATTCTGCACTCCTGTGACCCATTTTCAGCTGAAAGCCCACTGTCAGCTCACGTCACTCAGCCAGTCCAGGCTGGGGAAAGATCCCAACTTTAAAGATGTCTAGACTGACACCTGGCTGAGCGGGGGGTGGGTGGCAGAGCAGAGAGTGGTGACTGACATTCACCAGCTCTCTGCTCATGAAGCAATGAGAACTAAGTGATCACCGGTCTTTGATCGCTCAGTTCCCAGTCTTAGAGTTGTCAGGGACAGATGCAATATTGGACCAATGCTGCATACACCTAGGTGACTGAGCCAACAGTCTGCAGAGCAGGTGGCCTGACAGTGAAAATTTAGCAGTAAAAGAATTCTGTGTAACTGTCAATATTGAAAAAAACAGTTACCATAATTTTTTATGACCCTGCACATGAGTGGATGGGTGAAGAGAATGCATTTCCACTTCACCCCACTTCACAATGCCATAGATTAGTCCCTGTTGTGACTATGCTATATAATGCTGTATTTGCACTGAAAACATACTCAAAGGTGGATATAAGCATTCAAATTTGGGATGTAATTTTCAAACAGATTTCTCTTCATTTTAATATGGTGGTTTTTTTATATCCCTCAAAGGTGCATTTTCTGATGCTGATCTATGAATATGTTCCTGGAAAGAATACAACAATTTACGTTCTCATGATTTCACAAACTCTTGGCTATCTAGAGGAAGCTATCTTGGTCACCATCCATATCTGAGTAAATTATCTGAAATGCGGTTTTCCTGTCAAGCTTGTCAGAATTCAGTTTATGTGGCAGAACTCCTTAACCAGAGATGCAGACAAAGATATGATATTTTGAGATTAAGCCCTGGTTCGCATTGATGCAACTTGTCATGCAATTTGACAGTTCAAATTGCATCCAACGATCGGCAATGGAACCATTCTAATCAGTGTGACTCCAACTTCATCGGAGTTGCACCGATTTGAAAAGTAGCTCCTACACTACATTTGCTGATTGGGGTAAGACATGCATGAAGTTGCACAGATGTCTATCAAGTTGCACCTGAAGTCACACTGCCATCCGACTTTGAAATTGTTCACTTCAAATGAAGACACATGATTTCAAAGTTGGATACAGTGTGAATCGGGGCTTAATGTGTTATTCCAGTGCAGAGCTATGTCAGTGGTATTTAATGCAAAAACACATGAAAACACAGAAGAACAACTTCACTTTTTTGGCTGATTCACTCCAGCAGCCGTGTTGTGATGCAGCCACTGGTGTGTGCTGTGGAGTACACAGTGTTGGAGAGCCAATTACACAGCATCACATGGTTACTTTTTTTTTCAAATAGATTGGAATGTCACAAAATGACATTCATGTTTATTCACTGTTCCATGTTGTAATGCAGTGTAGTGCATTGTGACACGTTGCAGTAAAGAAAGTACTGCAATTTCATTGAACACTATTGCAACACAGTGGTGTGAACTGAACAAATAGGACATAAGGCAACTTATTATCCTATGACCTTCCCACCCACATCAGCTCCTACTCCTGTGCAACACTCACTCTAATCATTTCAATGCTGGTCTGTATTCATGGCAGCCCCAAGCTATCCAAACACAATCCATTGAAATAATGTAGGCAAGCGGCACACTTGTACAGTAGTAGCTGGACATGGCCAGGAATGTTCACTGCAAAGGCTGTACAGGGAGAACAGGGCTGTACAGTGAAGATCTCAGGAGAAGGATTGTCTGGTAAATTTTATTACCTGGGCTTCACTGTGTGTATGGGAGTCTTAAAAAGACAATTTTACTAAAAGTGAAGTTGTCCTTGAAAGGAAACCTGTACTGAATGGGAAAATGTTGACGCTACAATTGCTGACTTTACCTTCTGAAAATACTAGTTGTCAGGATGCAGTAATGTTCCAATAGCTTCAATACTTAATGAACCATTAATTAGGAACAGGTAATCAGATTGAGACTTCCAGCTTTTAATTATGTTAGCTTGCTCTGGATCAGTGAATCAGAACATGATACACCAAAGACAGCCAGGACATTAGCATTTTCAAAAGGAGCTTAGTACCAACAGCTCCATACTTCTTTCAGTACAGATTTTTATAACATTGAAGCACTGGTGGTACTTACAAATGATGATGATGATGGATGAAAGTTGACACAGCTGAGGTTGACGTCACCATTAACGCTAAGGGACTGGATGGTTTGAAAAGACACACGGTGGTGATATTCTAACAGGAACTGTCCATTCACTGTGACCTGAACAGTAAAAAAAAACCCACAAAAGTAACTTAGCTGAAATTTTGATAAAATGACATTCAAACTTTTGGATTCCCCCTCACTCTTTGTTCTGGGGACAGCAGTGAGCACCAGGACCTGACAGGTGTTCTACCCCTCACCATTGTATCCAAAATAGGTTTGGGTTTCGATACACTTTAAAGTATGCATGACAAGAAAGGAGTCCCAATCCTGTGCACACAGGTAAACAAGAAGAGTGCAGCAGCAACAGTTAGTAGTCTTCATTCCTAAACGTTCTAAGTTGATCCCAGTCTAGGAGCTCCCCCAAACCCCACAATATGCAATAGATTCTACAAGCAAGCGATAAAAAATATTGATTTTGGTTGGAAATATGCTTTAGAATGTTTAAATGCATTATAAACGATCACATCTGCATCTTTTTTGTATGTTTTTCATCTCCATAAGATGTACATTGATCATGTAGTTTCATGGTGTCACTTGTACACACAGCCTATAGTAGAGTAAATCTTCACATTGTTGTCAGACGATTCTGGTTAAAACATTACACTTTTAAAGCACTTTATTAGGTACACCTATTTAATTGCTTGGTAACACAAACTGCTAATCAGCCAATCACATGACAGCAACTCAATGCATTTAGGCATGTAGATGAGGTGAAGATGACTTGCTGAAGTTCAAACTGAGCATCTGAATGGGGAAGAAAGGGGATTTAAGTGACTTTGAGCATGTCATAGTTGTTTATGCCAGAAGAGCTGGTCTAAGTATTTCAAAAAACTGCTGATCTTCTGGGATTTTCATGCACAACCATCTCTAGGGTTTACAGAGAATGGTCCGAAAAAGAGAAAATATCCAGTGAGCTGCAGTTGTGTGGATGAAAATGCCTTGCTGAGGTCAGAGGAGAATGGGCAAACTGGTTGCTGTGACATTCAGATAGTAGGGTCAGAATTTGGCATAAACAACATGAAAGCATGGATCCATCCTGCCTTGTATCAACAGTTCAGGCTGGTAGTGGTATAATGGTGTGGGTGATATTTTCCTGGCACTAGCAAGGTGTACCTAATAAATTGGCCGGTGAGTATATGTTAAAGGTGTAAAGATATTAACGAACAGCAAACAAAAAAAAAAGGTTTTCATTATTAATAGTTTATAAAATAGAAATGAACAAAAAAATCAGCAGGAAAATAATTATTAAATGGAGAAGGAGAATAAGGAGTTAATTTGGGCTGATTATAGTAAATTAAGCGTTAATAAGGGGTGAAACATAGGAAAATTTAAAGAAAACAAAACCTTTTTTTTTTTTTTTTTTTTTACTAGACAGGTTGCCTTTAACTGACTTTATCTGCAGATCAAAGTTCATCTCTTTGATCTGTAGAGGAATAAACAGAACGATACAAAATGAAACAATGTTTCTTTTTATCTTTCTATTTTAGTAGCTGAGCAATGCTGTTGATAAATATTGTCAGGCTGCTTTTTTTGACAGCTCCAATTGCCAGGACTTGTTTACACTTCAGCTGTCCTCAGGGGCACCCTGCTGACAGCTGAATGCATCATTGGTTATTAAAGTGTTACTAAACCCATGTCCCTGCATTCACTATATCTGGTCTCCCACAGTACACAGAACATGGAAATGCAATGATTTTAGTAAATATAAACTGCTAAATACCTTTTCTCTTCAGCAGTATATAGCAGTCTTGTAACTTCTATCAGTGTCCAGCTGAGTACTGGTGAAAGCTTATAGGAGAAGTTTTCATTCTGCTCTGACTGTCCTATGAGGCCGCATGACCCTTGACCTCCTGTCTGGACAGTGCTGATTGGCTCTGTGCTAATCGCATGCACCCTCCCAAAGAAATAAAAACTCTCTAGCAACACATACTAAACTGGGCACGTGCAGAGTGACTCCTAGTTCTCTGTGCTATCAGAAGATTGATTGGGGAGAGTAGAAGATGGGGAGGATAAGAGAAGACGGGACTAAACAGCCTTTTTACACAATGCGAAGGATTTACCCCTTTGGTTCCACAGGGAGTATAATAAGCATGCTTTTCTGCATATTCAGACTCATTTTACTGTTGTGGGTTTTGTAACACTTTAAGAAACTTCGGCCCAGCTCCTTATCAACCTGTAATTGCCAGCTTTTTTTTTTTTAATTTACATTTCAGTTGTCAGTGGAGGAATCTCACTGACAGCTGAAAGAACCAAGCCTGAAGGTACTTGTGCAAATGCTTGGTATCGGTGCAACCCTAGTAATTAGAGCTGACATAGCCAAAGAGAAACAGCTCAGTTTAGGAGAGCTCACCTTTCTGGAAATTATGGGTTTTGATCACATTAGCACTCCCACATTTATGAGGAAACACAAAGAAAGTGGCTAAGCTTAAACTGGACACTGTGACCCAGTGCAAGAAGTTTCTTGTACCTTTGGTGAATAGGAACAAGCTAGGTGAATGAATATATGGACAAAGGAGGAATTGATCAGCCTTGACACTGCAAACTTCAGCCACAACATGTGATCCCATCATTACTAGGTAAGACAAACAAATGACAGAGAATATACTGTAACTACACGAATACCTTGTTAAAATAATAAAAACGTGTTTAAATGTACAATGCCTTTAAGTTTGGAAAACCCACCTGAAATGCATGTCCTACCACAACAATGGTTACATCAAAGTACGCATTCCTTTGGAAGGGCATATGGTTCTTCCTCTCTTCAGAGCCCCATTTATTGTTTTGCATGGTGTTGCATACAATGACACTGCCCTCGTCAAACCGTGGGTTGAAGTGAAATGCAATGTCATTATTGAAGCAGACAAAGTTTATGGCAAATCTGTAAAAAAGCGAGACAGTGTTAGCAGTTTCAATATACTTGGCTAAAGGCAAATGTAAGTTTCTTATGTCACAACCTGAAATTAAAATAGAATTTACTTGTTTACTTTTCATTTTACAATTATTTTTACATTTACGATTCAATCTAGCATTCTGAAGATTAATAATATTTGTTATTGTGATACAAAAAAATTATTTACCTAAAAAGTAAACAATTCTTGGCTACATAAAAATTTACCCTTAGCTCCCAGTACTTGGTAGAACCATATATAACTATATTTAAAGGCAAAACTGTTTTTAGTTTTGGATAGAGTGGAAAGGGACCAGAACACCTGTCTGTTTTTATTACTGTCTGTGTCCCTGTTAGGGAGATTCATCCTCTCTATTTGTTCTGGTTACCATTGTCATCTAAAGAAAAAGAAAATCACAAATTTTGGGTTGACATCAGAACAGTAATAGAAAGGAAATCTTTCAAAGGGGATGCTAGTTGTGGTAACACCCTAGGATTCCTTCGCTTTGGAGGGGTTTCTTTTCACTTCCTGTTTTGGCTATGGGACAGAAAGTGAAGGGAATTAATCCCATTGGGTCACAGATGGCAAAAAAACCTGCCTGGGATTACAACCCACCAGTACTCTATCCAAAATGAAAAAAAAAAATGCTACATTAACCACCTCCTGCCCACCACCATATAAGGAAATGATGGGAGGGTAGCGGTTCTCTTGTTTTGAGAATACATCATATGACGTCCTCCCACTCTAGCTGTGCATGTACGCCCCGGCAATCGGTGGTGAGCTGTGTCCCTGGGATACAGATCACCAGTCGCAGTAAACGGCCAATGACACAGGCTCTATCATGTGATCAGCTGTATCCAATCACAGCTGATCGCATGTAAATAGAAATGCCGTTATCATCAGTCCTAGAGAGCCGGTAAGCTGCATTCCTCAAAGGGGACATGTACACTGATCATCAATGCCCTGATGATCAGTGTAGCCCCTGCAGTGCCACCTATCAGTGCCCATAATTGCCACCTGTTGGTACCCATCAATGCCACCTGCCAGTGCCTAGTATCAGTGCCCATCAGAGCTGCCTTTCAGTGCCCAGTATCAGTGCCCATCAGAGCTGCCTTTCAGTGCCAACTATCAGTGCCAGTCAGTAGTGTCCATCAGTGCTGCCTATGAGTGCCATCTTTCAGTTCCCATCAGTGATGCCTGTCAATGCCCATCGGTGCCACCTAGCAGTGTCCATCATTGCAGCCTCATTATCATACATCGGTGAAGGAGAAGAATTACTTATTTACAAAATTTTGCAACAGAAACTAACAAAAAACTTTTTTTTTTCAAAATTTTCAGTCTTTTTTTAGTTTGTTTAGCAAAAAATAAAAAACCCCAGTGGTGATTAAATACCACCAAAAGAAAGCTCTATTTGTCTCAAAAAAATTATAAAAATTTTGTTTGGGTACAGTGTTGCATGACCGCGCAATTGTCATTCAAAGTGCGACAGCACTGAAAATTGGCCTGTGCAGGAAGGGGGTAAAAGTGCCTGGTAGGCAAATGATTAATGGCAGCTGTTAGTTTTTGGAGGGAAGTTTGTATCAGCTTTAAAAATCTGCATCTGACATTTTTGGCCATTCTTCTTAGCAAAATTGTTCTACTCCTGCCAGGCTGGAATGGAGATGATGATGAGCAATCTTCAAGTTTTGTCACAGATTTGCAAATGGATTGATGTCCGGGATTTGAGTTGACTGTTATAAGACACTCGGGTTCTTGGCTTTAAACCACTTTGATTTCCAAACTTGTTTGAGTCAGTGACAAAATAAAATATATAAGCCACCATCAACAAGAAAGCCAGGGAATTAGCATTTTTAGGAGAGGTCAGCAGTGGCAACCTACACTTTCCCTCAATTTTCTTTAATACTCATTCTGCCTTTGCTCAGTAACATACCTCTTAGCGTGACTGTGGACTTGTCCTTGTAGAGTCACTCTCTTTCCATCTGTGACCCCCCCCGAGTATTGCACTCTGGAAGGGCACAACCTGCAAAAAAGGAAACTTGTTAAAACCATCAATTCAATTTACACAATTTCAAGTAAAGTATGTTTCACAGATCACAAAAAGAGTTCATACAGAATGAAATTGCAGCTTTGGGTGTCCATTTGACAGTTAAGAATTTTGATGTCCTTACAGTAATAAACTTCTATAATTACTTAATTTCTTCCCTGTGCATAGGTCAGTTGTAGTTTTCACACTTTTTTAAACACACACGCATCACTGGGTTTCTGTGCTTCTCTGTGCAATGCACACAGATCATGGCTGGTGGGAGAGGCCAGCAGGAATCTGTATATAGCTTCCTAAAAGCATCACAGCAACTTGCCTCAGTACTGCTCTCAACAGCCATCAGCTATGATGCAAGTAGCAGGTTGGCTCTTGGGGGGAATTATGCAAATATCAGGAGGAGTTTTGCTTTGATGGGTAGATTCCAGTCTGGAGGAGTGGGTGTTCCTAGGCAGGCTGCATCTGCATGCAGACCACCCTAGATAACACCTACGTGTGATGTTGTGCCTCCATTATTCATAGGACTAAAAATCCAATGAATGAAAGGAACCAGGCCAGGAATTGTAAGGCTGGGAAGGAAGGATCTAGATCTGGGTTCTCCAAACTTTCTAAACAAAGGGCCGGTTTACTGTCCTTCAGACTTTAGGAGGGCTGGAGTAGCCAGTGGGAGTAGAAAATGTCCCAGCGTCAGTAGTAGTAAAAAAAAAATGACATAGTGCATATAGTCAGTGGTAAGAGGAATAGTGTCCAGTCATTGGTATTAGTTGGAGGAACAGTGTCCTATCTTTGGTATTAGTGGGAGGAATAGTGCTCATCATTGGTATTAGTTGGAGGAAGAATGCCCCATTCATTGGTATTACTAGGAGGAATAATGCCTCATCATTGGTATTACTAGGAGGAACAGTGCCCCATCATTGGTAATATTAGGAGGAACAGTGCCCCATCATTGGTATTACTAGGAGGAATAATGCCTCATCATTGGTATTACTAGGAGGAACAGTGCCCCATCATTGGTATTACTAGGAGGAATAATGCCTCATCATTGGTATTACTAGGAGGAATAATGCCTCATCATTGGTATTACTAGGAGGAACAGTGCCCCATCATTGGTATTAGTAGGAGGAATAGTGACCCATCATTGGTGACAGTGGGAGCAGTAGTGCCCCATCATTGGTGTTGGGGAAGAATAGTGCCCCATCATTGGTGTCAGGGGAATGAATAGTGTCCCATCATTGGTATCAGAGGAAGGAATAGTGCCCCATCCTTGGTATTAGTTGGAGGAATAGAGCCCCATCTTTGGTAAAAGTTGGAGGAATAGTACCTAATTGTTTATATCAGTGGGGGGAACTGTGCCCTATCATTAGTGTCAGCAGAAGGAAAAATGCCCCATAGTTGGTGCCAGTGAAAGAAATGGTGCCTCCTTGTTGGTGTCAGTGGGTGAAATAGTACCCTGAGTGCCAGATAGAGCCAAGCAAAGGGCCCATGGGCTGCAGTTTGGAAACTACTGATCTAGATAATGATGGATGTCCTCCATCCAGGAAATGAGGGGGCTCTATTTAATTCCTGCAGATTCTAATGCAAACTGTGAAAAGCTCATAGTCTGTCAATTTAGACAAAAAAATTTCAGTATTGGAGAGGAGCCTGAGCAGATGAGGGTCGAGTTCAGTTGTACGGCACGCTATTCTATCATTCATCCCTTGGCCACCACTGGGAAAGTAAACCTGTTTCACATCTAGGTAATTTAAACTACAAATATGTTAAATATATATATATATATATATATATATATATATATATATATAAGCAGGGGTTACCTGCACTCAAAACCACAATGGCAAAAGATCAATTAAAAGAGAAGTACAGCCAAAGCTCTTTTGGCCTTACCTCTCCTGTGGATCACAGAAGTGCAGTTCATTCTGCACTCTTGTGACCCATTTTCAGCTGACAGTGTGCTGAAGCCCACTGTCAGTTGACTTCACTCAGTTGGTCCAGGCTGGGAAAAGATCCCGAGTTCAAAGTTGGGATCCACCCCAGGTGTAGTGGCACCTGGCTCAGCCTCTTCATGAGCCACAGAGAGTCTGTGCCAGCAGCTCCTTCTCCGTCCACAGTCCAGTGCTCCACTGAGTGCTGGAGGGGGGGGGGGGGGTAGAGCAGACAGCAGTGACTGAGAGTGCTCTCCCACAAACACCTGCTCAGAACTCGGGGGTATCGGTCATAGGTTATCTATATGATCTGCTGCACAGAGCTCAGTCGGTGCCAGGTCTGAAGCAGGATGCAGTCCTTACAATGCAGATCCTGGAGCAGCTGGGCTGGGTGCTCAGCTTTGAGAAGCCGGCCCTGAAGTCAGTACAGAGCCTGGAATATTTGGGGATGGTCCTAGACACAGTTAAGGCAAAAGTATTTCTGCCTCCAGGAAACGTTACGCCCTTAGGAACAAGGGCCAAGAGGTATCCTTCAATTCGCCTCTGTATAATGTTGCTGGGGAAGATGGTGTCCTCATTCAAGGAAAATTCCCTATGCCCAATTCCACTCCAGACTGCTGCAAAGGAACATTCTGACTGTTTGGGACAAGAAAGTTCTGGCTCTGGATTACCGTATGTCTTTGTCTCCCGTGGTACTGCGAAGCCTAAATTAATGGTTGATGACTCAGAATTTGGAGAGAGGGAGATCCTTTTGGTTGGTGGTGTGGAAACTGGTAACCACCGATGCCAGCCTCTCAGGTTGGGGGCTGTCCTAGAGGGGGCCACAGTTCAGGAAACATGGCTTCCACGAGAGAGGGTTCTACCTATCAATGTCCTGGAGCTCCGGGCAGTGAGGCTTTCTCTGAGGTATTTTACATGCAGGCTTCAGGGTTGGCCAGTAAGTATTCAGTCTGACAATGCCACAGCAGTGGCATACATCAACCACCAGGAGGGTACCAGGA